CAAAGCCAGAGGCTCCTGGTCCAACCCCGCTCCTCAGGGGCTGCCCCAGCACAGCGTGGGGCTCGGGAGCAATTTCACCCCGTGGGCAAACTGGGGCGGACCGGGGTTTTGCCCTCCCCTGCACCAGGTCCGCGGCCCCTGCAAGAGCACCCAGAGGAGCGGGCGTGGACTCGGGGCAGTGCCAGCCCCGCGCTGCCAGGGCCAGGCTGGCTGCAGGCAGCGCTCAGAGGCCGGGGGGCTGTGACCGCAGCAGCCGCCGGGCGAGAGGGAGGCCCGGGAAAGGAGGGCACGTCCGGGGACCACTCACCGCCGGGGCCGGCACCAACCACGCGCCCACTCCGTGGGGGCCGGGGCGCGGAACGCACCAATCACGGAGCAGAAGGCGGTGCCGGGCTGCTCCGACCCACAGCCCCGACTGCGCAGGGCGTCACGTGTGCGGCCTCGGCCCAGAAGCGGGGTGCAGCTGGCGCATGCGCGTTGTGCGCCGAGGACGGGGGGGAGGAGACTGTAGCGCCCCGGGATCCTCCGCTGCTGGGTTATAGGTGGGAAGTGGGGGAGAGCTCAGGAGGTCACCTCTAGTGCAACAAGCCAGCTCAAAGCTGAGAAAGGACCCTTTAAAAAATATTTAAATTGTTCAGATTCCAAGCCAAATTATCGAAAACAAACTCCAAGTCCGTGAGTCAGTGCAGAAACGTCAGTGGTCATACTACGGGCAAACTTCCTCCACCCTCATCCGAGGCTTCAGATGCTGCCAAAACCTTCCAATCATCTCATCACAGCCAAGGCTTTGTCTGCCCAGGGCTTCAAAACCTCCAAGGATGGAGACTGCGCAGCCTCTCTGGGTTAGGGTGACCACCTTTTTAAAATGGAAAGGCAGGACACATGCCTGGATCCCTGTCCAGCCCACAGGAGCAGGGAAGGGGCAGATGCAGGCCCCCTCCCCTGCTGTCTTTCCCCCAGAGCCCCCCCAAGCTGCACGCCCTCTGCCTACCACCATAACTCCACACCGCCACCACCCAGCTGCTGTGGGGAGGGTGGGGGCCATCACCATGGTGGCACAGGACTCCCAGCAGGGTGGCAAGCCCTGAGCCCAGCACAAATCTTGAGGGCACGTGTCCCCCATGGCCAACTCCCTGGGCTGAGGCTGCTCCTGTGGGGTCCAATACTGTTGACCCATCCTGCAGCCCCTTCTGCTGGCCCTGAGAGCATGGGAGGGGTAGAGGAGACCAACTGGGCCACAAAGCATGGCTCTGTCTGCATCTGCCCACCTGCCTCCTGGTAGCAGAGCATGCTGCTAGAATCATGGGGTGGGAGGGAAGGGGCTGGCACAGAGGCTGCCTGGGCACAAGCAAGGCAGCAGCAGTTGTGGCAGTCCCCAGAGGACTAGCTGCAGGCACCACTGGAGTAGCTGAGGCAGGCACAGAGTGCTGAATGGGGGAGGAAAGCGTTTACCTCATTTGCACAGAGGGATCTTGTGGTTCACTTTGGCTTGCTCTCACCTGGCTTGGCTTGGTACACTAGGTGTGCCATGGCATGCTCTTTGGAAATTACTGATTTTGACTATGCCCAAAGCCATGAATGGGAAAAAATAATGCATCCAAGAATGGGAAAAAATAAGCCCTCAGGAAAGATACCCATGAGTAGGGTTCTACTTAAATCACAGCAAGACAAAGGATTTTTCATGGCCTGCTGAATTTCAAACCATGTTAGGAGCTCCATGAATCAGATCTCATTTTCAGCCACTAACTTAACTTGATTTTCAAAGTTGCTCTGTTTTAAGAGATTGCATAATTTAAGCATACACTGTGTTCTGGGTGTGATTTCAAACTTATGGGTTGTAGCCATGTTGATCTATGTCAGGGGTTTTCAACCAGGGATCCTGGGGGTACTTGGCATGGCTTCAGGGGCCAAGTACCCCCAGGAAGTGAGTACTGGGGGCCATGGGCACTGCTGGGGGACCCTCCCTCACTCACTGACTGGCTGCTGGGGGACCCCCCAATTTGTCAACTGGCTACCAGGGGACTCCTTCCTTCTCGATCTCGATCAGCCGCCTGGGGTCCAGTGACCCAAAAAGATTGAAAATCCCTGGCCTAAGTGTTAGGGTGACTATATTTGGATCTTGGGGAGCACTGGATTTGCAGCTGAATGACTTTAACCTGTGGCCTAGCAAAAGCTGCTAACCACAAGGCAGAATGATATCTAAGCCAGTCATTTGCTTATGCTAAGTAACCATCTTAACTGTATTAACCATTTTTCTGAAGAAGCAGCAAGTAAGTCTGTGCGAGTCTGTGTGCTGTGAATGAGGTGAAGCCTTAGGAATGTGGAAGATGGTATAACATGGGACAGAAAAACAGATAGGAATGCGGAACATAACACAGTAACTGAGATGAACATATGCAAAAGGGTGAATGGTAAAGAAGCCTCTGAAATCTGCCCATTGACTGAAGAAGTGGGGTGAAGGCGTTAGACATGCACTCATAGCAAAAAGACATGTAAATGATTAAAATGCATAGGCAATTCCATGTTAATGAACTAAACAGTAAACAGAGGCAAAGCTTGAGATGGGAGGCGAAATGGGTGGAACAGAAGGAGGGACAGAGGTGGAGTGAATGTTAATGAATGTGAATCAAAGTGTATAAATGTGGAAAGAACTATAGTTCAGTGCAGGTCCCCTCTTTGCTATTTTTTGGGGGGACCTTTGCCCGAAGCCATCTCCATTCTGAATAAAGCTGTTGCAAGCAATGTGTGTAAGTAGAGTTTGCTCCCTGCTTTCTCTGGCTAATGAGTAACAGGACCCATGAGCAATTGAGTCATCATCTCCCTAGCTGTTGGGCGCCGCATAGAGTCAGGGTCTAACACTAAATACTTAATATTTTTGCATGATAAACAAACTGTGTTGAACCATGAATTCCACCTTTGTAAACTCTCTTTCCTGCCCAGGGCAGGGGGTCATACTCAATGATTTACTGAGGTCCCTTCCAACCCTAAAAATTCTATGAAATATAGTACACTGTGGTAGTACTTAATAACACTAAGGACAAAGGCAGACAAGGTTCTTTGGGTAAATGT